GCATGTGGGTGTGCGTTTCACCTTATCAAAGTCCTTCACCAGTCGAGCCTCGCTTGTCTCGTTTGCTTCATACTCCTCCCACAAAGCCAGCATCTCGGCTGGTGTTGGGGGGGAATGGGAGGGGAGCGGATGGGAGTGGAAGAGGCGTGGAAAGCAAATTAGTGTTACTTTCGACAACTCTCAAAAGTGCAGCCAGATGGCCGCACCTCTTTACCCCTCTCCATCTGGCTGCAAATGCTGCTCCAACACTCCTAGCCAGCCCTCATCTGCAGCAAATGCTGCTCCCAGCCCTCATCTGCTGCTCCCAGCCCTCATCTGCCTTCCCAAATCCCTCACCTGCTAACTTTTGAGTCGACTCAAAAGTCATCTCGGCTGGTGTTGGGGGGGAATGGGAGGGGAGAGGATGGGAGTGGAAGAGGCGTGGAAAGCACTCTCGAAAGAACTCTCAAAAGTGCCGTGCAGACCTTTGAGTCGACTCAAACGTCACCTGGTGTTGGGGGGAATGGGAGGGGAGCGGATGGGATTGGAAGAGGTGCGGAAAGCAAATTGGTGTTACTTTCAAGAACTCTCAAAAGTGCCGTGCAGATGCTGCTCCAACACTCCCAGCCCTCATCTGCCTTCCCAAAACCCTCACCTGCTGCCCTCCCAAAGCCCTCACCTGCTGCCTTGTGGTTTGGGCCTAAAGCAGCACACATCTGCCCCAGAGCCCCGCCCCTCTCCATTTGGTGCTTCTCGTCCGTACCCACTCCGCTCAACACAAATAAAAAATGCCCCTTCTATGCCTCACCTGCTGCCTTGCGGTTTGGGCCCAGCGCGACACACATCTGCCCCAGAGCCAACCCCTCCTTGCTTCTCCATTTGGTTGGTGCTTCTCGTCCTTGCCCACGGGGCAGTGGGCAAGGAGCCCCAGAGCCATCCCTCTCGTCCTTGCCCGCTCACACACGACAAATAAACACCTGCTGCCTTGATCACTCACCTGCTGCCTTGATCACTCACCTGCTGCCTTGATCACTCACCTGCTGCCTTGATCACTCACCTGCTGCCTTGATCACTCACCTGCTGCCTTGATCACTCACCTGCTGCCTTGATCACTCACCTGCTGCCTTGATCACTCACCTGCTGCCTTGATCACTCACCTGCTGCCTTGATCACTCACCTGCTGCCTTGATCACTCACCTGCTGCCTTGATCACTCACCTGCTGCCTTGATCACTCACCTGCTGCCTTGATCACTCACCTGCTGCCTTGATCACTCACCTGCTGCCTTGATCACTCACCTGCTGCCTTGATCACTCACCTGCTGCCTTGATCACTCACCTGCTGCCTTGATCACTCACCTGCTGCCTTGATCACTCACCTGCTGCCTTGATCACTCACCTGCTGCCTTGATCACTCACCTGCTGCCTTGATCACTCACCTGCTGCCTTGATCACTCACCTGCTGCCTTGATCACTCACCTGCTGCCTTGATCACTCACCTGCTGCCTTGATCACTCACCTGCTGCCTTGATCACTCACCTGCTGCCTTGATCACTCACCTGCTGCCTTGATCACTCACCTGCTGCCTTGATCACTCACCTGCTGCCTTGATCACTCACCTGCTGCCTTGATCACTCACCTGCTGCCTTGATCACTCACCTGCTGCCTTGATCACTCACCTGCTGCCTTGATCACTCACCTGCTGCCTTGATCACTCACCTGCTGCCTTGATCACTCACCTGCTGCCTTGATCACTCACCTGCTGCCTTGATCACTCACCTGCTGCCTTGATCACTCACCTGCTGCCTTGATCACTCACCTGCTGCCTTGATCACTCACCTGCTGCCTTGATCACTCACCTGCTGCCTTGATCACTCACCTGCTGCCTTGATCACTCACCTGCTGCCTTGATCACTCACCTGCTGCCTTGATCACTCACCTGCTGCCTTGATCACTCACCTGCTGCCTTGATCACTCACCTGCTGCCTTGATCACTCACCTGCTGCCTTGATCACTCACCTGCTGCCTTGATCACTCACCTGCTGCCTTGATCACTCACCTGCTGCCTTGATCACTCACCTGCTGCCTTGATCACTCACCTGCTGCCTTGATCACTCACCTGCTGCCTTGATCACTCACCTGCTGCCTTGATCACTCACCTGCTGCCTTGATCACTCACCTGCTGCCTTGATCACTCACCTGCTGCCTTGATCACTCACCTGCTGCCTTGATCACTCACCTGCTGCCTTGATCACTCACCTGCTGCCTTGATCACTCACCTGCTGCCTTGATCACTCACCTGCTGCCTTGATCACTCACCTGCTGCCTTGATCACTCACCTGCTGCCTTGATCACTCACCTGCTGCCTTGATCACTCACCTGCTGCCTTGATCACTCACCTGCTGCCTTGATCACTCACCTGCTGCCTTGATCACTCACCTGCTGCCTTGATCACTCACCTGCTGCCTTGATCACTCACCTGCTGCCTTGATCACTCACCTGCTGCCTTGATCACTCACCTGCTGCCTTGATCACTCACCTGCTGCCTTGATCACTCACCTGCTGCCTTGATCACTCACCTGCTGCCTTGATCACTCACCTGCTGCCTTGATCACTCACCTGCTGCCTTGATCACTCACCTGCTGCCTTGATCACTCACCTGCTGCCTTGATCACTCACCTGCTGCCTTGATCACTCACCTGCTGCCTTGATCACTCACCTGCTGCCTTGATCACTCACCTGCTGCCTTGATCACTCACCTGCTGCCTTGATCACTCACCTGCTGCCTTGATCACTCACCTGCTGCCTTGATCACTCACCTGCTGCCTTGATCACTCACCTGCTGCCTTGATCACTCACCTGCTGCCTTGATCACTCACCTGCTGCCTTGATCACTCACCTGCTGCCTTGATCACTCACCTGCTGCCTTGATCACTCACCTGCTGCCTTGATCACTCACCTGCTGCCTTGATCACTCACCTGCTGCCTTGATCACTCACCTGCTGCCTTGATCACTCACCTGCTGCCTTGATCACTCACCTGCTGCCTTGATCACTCACCTGCTGCCTTGATCACTCACCTGCTGCCTTGATCACTCACCTGCTGCCTTGATCACTCACCTGCTGCCTTGATCACTCACCTGCTGCCTTGATCACTCACCTGCTGCCTTGATCACTCACCTGCTGCCTTGATCACTCACCTGCTGCCTTGATCACTCACCTGCTGCCTTGATCACTCACCTGCTGCCTTGATCACTCACCTGCTGCCTTGATCACTCACCTGCTGCCTTGATCACTCACCTGCTGCCTTGATCACTCACCTGCTGCCTTGATCACTCACCTGCTGCCTTGATCACTCACCTGCTGCCTTGATCACTCACCTGCTGCCTTGATCACTCACCTGCTGCCTTGATCACTCACCTGCTGCCTTGATCACTCACCTGCTGCCTTGATCACTCACCTGCTGCCTTGATCACTCACCTGCTGCCTTGATCACTCACCTGCTGCCTTGATCACTCACCTGCTGCCTTGATCACTCACCTGCTGCCTTGATCACTCACCTGCTGCCTTGATCACTCACCTGCTGCCTTGATCACTCACCTGCTGCCTTGATCACTCACCTGCTGCCTTGATCACTCACCTGCTGCCTTGATCACTCACCTGCTGCCTTGATCACTCACCTGCTGCCTTGATCACTCACCTGCTGCCTTGATCACTCACCTGCTGCCTTGATCACTCACCTGCTGCCTTGATCACTCACCTGCTGCCTTGATCACTCACCTGCTGCCTTGATCACTCACCTGCTGCCTTGATCACTCACCTGCTGCCTTGATCACTCACCTGCTGCCTTGATCACTCACCTGCTGCCTTGATCACTCACCTGCTGCCTTGATCACTCACCTGCTGCCTTGATCACTCACCTGCTGCCTTGATCACTCACCTGCTGCCTTGATCACTCACCTGCTGCCTTGATCACTCACCTGCTGCCTTGATCACTCACCTGCTGCCTTGATCACTCACCTGCTGCCTTGATCACTCACCTGCTGCCTTGATCACTCACCTGCTGCCTTGATCACTCACCTGCTGCCTTGATCACTCACCTGCTGCCTTGATCACTCACCTGCTGCCTTGATCACTCACCTGCTGCCTTGATCACTCACCTGCTGCCTTGATCACTCACCTGCTGCCTTGATCACTCACCTGCTGCCTTGATCACTCACCTGCTGCCTTGATCACTCACCTGCTGCCTTGATCACTCACCTGCTGCCTTGATCACTCACCTGCTGCCTTGATCACTCACCTGCTGCCTTGATCACTCACCTGCTGCCTTGATCACTCACCTGCTGCCTTGATCACTCACCTGCTGCCTTGATCACTCACCTGCTGCCTTGATCACTCACCTGCTGCCTTGATCACTCACCTGCTGCCTTGATCACTCACCTGCTGCCTTGATCACTCACCTGCTGCCTTGATCACTCACCTGCTGCCTTGATCACTCACCTGCTGCCTTGATCACTCACCTGCTGCCTTGATCACTCACCTGCTGCCTTGATCACTCACCTGCTGCCTTGATCACTCACCTGCTGCCTTGATCACTCACCTGCTGCCTTGATCACTCACCTGCTGCCTTGATCACTCACCTGCTGCCTTGATCACTCACCTGCTGCCTTGATCACTCACCTGCTGCCTTGATCACTCACCTGCTGCCTTGATCACTCACCTGCTGCCTTGATCACTCACCTGCTGCCTTGATCACTCACCTGCTGCCTTGATCACTCACCTGCTGCCTTGATCACTCACCTGCTGCCTTGATCACTCACCTGCTGCCTTGATCACTCACCTGCTGCCTTGATCACTCACCTGCTGCCTTGATCACTCACCTGCTGCCTTGATCACTCACCTGCTGCCTTGATCACTCACCTGCTGCCTTGATCACTCACCTGCTGCCTTGATTACCCACCTGCTGCCGTGCAGTTTGGTCCCAGAGCACCACACATCTTCTCCAGGGCCTCCCTCTCTTCATTTTACACACACCCACATCTGCCCTGAGCACTCTCTACCTCGGAACAACACTCACTTGCTGCCCTGCGGTTTGGTCCCAGAGCACCACACATCTTCTCCAGTGCGTCCCTCTCCATTCGGTGCTTTTCCTCCTTGCCCACTCCACACGACGGGGTGATATCGCCCGCAGTAGCTGCGAGGGAGGAGGGGAGGCCGTGGGGATGTGTGAGGGGAGAGAGGGGTGGGAGAGAGTAGGGTCCCAGTGCGTCACACATGTGCGGTCCACATGTGCCCCAGGGCCTCCCTCTCCATTCGGTGCTTTTCGTCCTTGCCCACTCCACACGACGGGGCGATATCGCCTGCTATTGCTGCGAGGGAGGAGGGGAGGCCGTGGGGATGTGTGAGGGGAGGGACGGGTGGGAGAGAGTAGGGTCCCAGTGCGTCACACATGTGCCCCAGTGCGGTCCACATGTGCCCCAGTGTGGTACACATGTGCCCCAGTGCGGTCCACATGTGCCCCAGGGCGGTCCACATGTGCCCCAGTGCGGTCCACATGTGCCCCAGTGGCTCCCTCTCCATTCGGTGTTTTTCCTCCTTGCCCACTCCACACGACGGGGTGATATCGCCTGCTATTGCTGCAAGGGAGGAGGGAAGCAAGGAGGGTGGGGGAGGGAGAGAAGGTGTGATTCTGAGAGAGAGAGAGTCCCGGAAATTGTGAGTGATTGTTTAGAATTCTGAAAACTTGTAGTCCTTGTGAGAGTCTCCCGGAAATTGTTTCTAAGACAAAACTGAAATATAGGGGTGTGTCAGATTTGGTTTTGAGGCCCCTCAAAACTAGAGTCCCAGAGATGGTTTCTAAGACAGAACTGAAATATCGGGGTGTGTCAGAGGCAAGGCCAGTCCTTTTCCAGTTACATTGGACATGCTTTTAGGGGGGATATAATTCCAGCTGCTATTGAATATCAGGGTTGATTGAGACAGAGAGAGAGAGAGGGGTGTGAGTGACGCAAGCTCGGCCCTTTTCCAGCTTCACTGGAGCTGATTTTCAGAATCGGGGTTGAAGGTAGGTGGCGAGAGGTGTAGAGGGGTTGAGTGAAAGTGTAGAGGGGTTGAGTGCGTACCTTCTGCCACGTCATGCACAATTGCCATCTTGATGCACCTGTTGACACACAAGGTGTGCATGCACACGTGGCACACACAGACACACACACATGGCACACACAGACACACACACGTGGCACACACAGATACACACACATGGCACACACAGACACACACACGTGGCACACATAGACACACACACATGGCACACACAGACACACACACGTGGCACACACAGACACACACACGTGGCACACACAGACACACACACGTGGCACACAGACACACACACATGGCACACACAGACACACACACGTGGCACACACAGACACACACACATGGCACACACAGACACACACACGTGGCACACACAGACACACACACGTGGCACACAGACACACACACATGGCACACACAGACACACACACGTGGCACACACAGACACACACACATGGCACACACAGACACACACACGTGGCACACACAGACACACACACGTGGCACACACACACACACACACACACACACACACGCACACACATGTGGCACACATATACACGTGGCACACACATATAGGCCATGATTATGTCGCATTTCAGTGCCATAAGTCTCCGATGCCCCTAGTCTCCTAATTCACTTGACATCCAACCCCCTCCCAATCCAACCCCCTCCCAATCCAATCCCCTCCCAATCTTCTCCCATTCACCTCTCTCCATCCCCCCTCCCGCATCCCTGTCCCCCACTCCAGTTTTGACTCGACTCAAAACTCGATTCAAAAAACTCGACTCAAAACTCAACTTTCTGTGACTCACCGCTCTCTATCAATCCCCTCAACACCAGACAGCACGAACGCCATGAGCGCCATGCGGTGCATGTGGGTGCCGATCGACTCTGGCCCCTGCACTCCCCATCCTTCCCAGTCACTCCACTCCCACTCCCCAACCCTTGCGACTCACCGCTCTCTATCAATCCCCTCAACACCAGACAGCACGAACGCCATGAGCGCCATGCGGTGCATGTGGGTGCCGATCGACTCTGGCCCCTGCACTCCCCATCCTTCCCAGTCACTCCACTCCCACTCCCCAACCCTTGCGACTCACCGCTCTCTATCAATCCCCTCAACACCAGACAGCACGAACGCCATGGGCGCCATGCGGTGCATGTGATCGCAAATCGATCCTTTCTCACTACCCACGACGCACCACCTGCGGCTCACCTCTCCCTGTCGATCCGCCATGTGCTGGCCCCTGCACAGCACAGCACAGCACAGCACAGCACAGCACAGCACAGCACAGCACAGCACAGCACAGCACACCACCTGCGGCTCACCTCTCCCTGTCGATCCCCTCCACTCCTGCCAGCACAAAAGCCAGTAAAGCCATGCGATGCATGTGGTCGCCAATCGATCGACTCTGGCCCCTGCACAGCACATGCCCATTCGCCCAGCACCCACAACCCCTGCGGCTCACCTCTCCCTGTCGATCCGCCATGTGCTGGCCCCTGCACAGCACATGCCTGTTGCATCTACCAGTCCCCCCCAGCACTCACCTCTCTCTCTCAATCCATCCCCTCCACTCCACCCAACACAAACGCCATTAGAGCCATGCGATGCATGTGCCCGCCTATTGACTCAGAATCTCCACACGCCCATGGCATGTACCAGACGCTCACTCTCACCTCTCCCTGTCAATCCCCTCCACTCCTGACAACACAAACACCATTGAAGACATGCAATGCATGCATGTGGTCGCCTCGCCTATCTGGAGATCAGGCCCGCTCAACCCTCCCACTCACCTCTCCCTGTCAATCCCCTGCACTCCAGACAACACAAAAGCCATTAGTGACATGCGATGCATGTGGTCGCCGATCGACTCTGGCCCCTGCACTCCCCGCTTCACCCACCCCGTGCGCTTCAGTGTCTGGAAATCAGGGGGTTTAGGGTTCAGGGTACAGGGTTAGGGGGGAGTGTCGACAACAGCGCCATCAGAGCCATGTGGTCGCCGATCGACTCTGCCCCCTGCACTCCCCGCTTCACCCATCCCGTCCTTTTCAGTGTCTGAGGGTGCGGGGAGGGAAGGGAGGTGGGAGGGGTGTCAACACCAACGCCATGAGAGCCATGCGGTGCATGTGGTCGCCTATCGACTCTGCCCCCTGCACTCCCCGCTTCACCCATCCTGTGCGCTTCAGTGTCTGATGGTAATTTTGGGGTCAAAATTCAAGGGGGGGGGGGGGGGGGGGGGGGGGGGGGGGGGAGAATGGGGGGGAGAGGGGGAGAGGCGGAAAAGGCGGAGGGGGAAGAGGGAAAGGGAAGGAGTTGGGGTGCAGAGAAGGAGGTTTTGCTCGGATTCAGGGTACAGGGTTTCAGGGGGGATATGGAGGGAAGGAGGGCAGGGAGTGGGGCAGGGAGGAGGGAGGAGAGGGGTAATGCACGCATGGGTCATGCACGCATGGGTCATGCAAGCATGGGTCATGCACGCATGGGTCATGCAAGCATGGGTCATGCAAGCATGGGTCATGCACGCATGGGTCATGCACGCATGGGTCATGCACGCATGGGTCATGCAAGCATGGGTCATGCACGCATGGGTCATGCAAGCATGGGTCATGCAAGCATGGGTCATGCAAGCATGCGTCATGCACGCATGGGTCATGCACGCATGGGTCATGCAAGCATGGGTCATGCACGCATGGGTCATGCAAGCATGGGTCATGCAAGCATGGGTCATGCAAGCATGGGTCATGCACGCATGGGTCATGCACGCATGGGTCATGCACGCATGGGTCATGCACGCATGGGTCATGCAAGCATGGGTCATGCACGCATGGGTCATGCACGCATGGGTCATGCACGCATGGGTCATGCACGCATGGGTCATGCACGCATGGGTCATGCACGCATGGTTCATGCACGCATGGGTCATGCACGCATGGGTCATGCACGCATGGGTCATGCACGCATGGGTCATGCACGCATGGGTCATGCACGCATGGGTCATGCACGCATGGGTCATGCAAGCATGGGTCATGCAAGCATGGGTCATGCACGCATGGGTCATGCACGCATGGGTCATGCACGCATGGGTCATGCACGCATGGGTCATGCACGCATGGGTCATGCACGCATGCCGATTATCAACTCTGAAATATCTCCCTCATGCAGGTGCTTCGAAATCTCCCTCATCCCCGCAACGCACGCAAACCGTTTCGCGATTGCGCTCCCAGGCACGCGAAGTGAAGGGGTACGCGCTAGTGCTTGTCTCGCAATTGAGACAAACCGACACAAGAAATCGTCCTATCCATAGTGTACCGGACGGAGATTCTTATATCTCAAACACAGCGTGAGACAGCTGAATAGGCGAATCGGACATTTGGACCGTCGGATCGTCGAACCTTTAGCGGCTGGATCATCATCAGGAAATCGACGGCTGACGATGCCTCTGCTGGACCAATCGTGGTGACCCCGGCGGAGGGAGCTGCTGCCCCCGTCGCCGCCGGTTCCGCCATTCCCGTCGCCGCCGGTTCCGCCATTCCCGTCGCCGCCGCTTCCGCCAATCCCGTCACCGCCGCTTCCGCCATCCCCGCCCCTTCCACCGTCGGTTCCGCCGACCCCACCCCTGTCGCCGTTTCTGCCTGTCTCACTCCCGTCCGCGATCCAGCAGAGAGGCGGAAAATGCTGCGCGCGTGCAGCGCGAAGGGGGAAAGCGGAGGAGTAGAAACGAGAAATGCGGGCGAAAGCTGCTGCTGCTGCTGATGCTGCTGCTGCGTTTTAATGGTTCTCGCACAACCGTTACTGACAAGCGTTTGGGCGACTATAGTCTTAGAGCAACAAGCGCGGCCTATGTTGGCTAATTCTGTTCTTAAGCTAGTCGCGACGGAAATTCTTAAAAGATTCGTCCGCGTTAGAAAGACTCGCGAGAAAAGCATTCCGATTCGGCGCGGGATGCTTGAGGGAAGGCACGGTGAACTAGTAGTTCGGTGGAGCATGAAGTTCCAAGTACGAATTTGCTGGTTGCAGATGTCGAACCCGCGTCCCCTGGACTATTCACCCGAACCCCAACCCAACCATCTCGAAAAGCCACGTGGCAAATCCATCTCACCACGTACAAATGTACAAAGTGACTCCGTCGCTTCATAATCTGAAAATCATGTATTCAAAGGCATACTTACCTGGGCGGGGTCAATCGGTGATCAAGAAGGCCGATGGCCTAGGGGCGGGCTCGCCATTGCACTTCGGCCGGCCCTGTCCCTAGCACGCCGGAACTCCCGGTGATGCACGTCATAATTTGTGGCAGAGGGGGCTCGCGTTCGCGCGGCCCCTACCAATGCAAAACTCGAAAATGGGATCATTTATATGACGCATATACAGACGAAAGTAACAATGTAAAAATAGCCTCTCAAACAAGCTGTATAAGCATACATATTCCAGGAAGGGAATTTCTGTACATTCTGAATTCCAGACCAGAATACTAGGAAACAGAACAATCGTCCATTAGGAGAGCAACTCAACCTGCTGTTTACACGAGCCACAAATTCTATGTCTTTCCATATTTGTCCACAAAACTTTTGTCAACTCAGGTATGGTAAAGCTGCTGCTCCGTCTTGTGCTGCTGCGTCTTGTGCTGGTGCGTCTTGTGCTGCAGCGTCTTGTGCTGCTGCGTCTTGTGCTGCTGCGTCTTGTGCTGCTGCGTCTTGTGCTGCTGCGTCTTGTGCTGCTGCGTCTTGTGCTGCTGCTTCTAATGCCGTTGATGGTGCTGGTACTGCAACACCAAGCCCCGTGTTTTATCCATGTTGCAACAGCAGCCCTCTCTTCACATGCACAGCCGACTGCTGGTGCAGCTGCTGCTGCTCTAGTTGATGATGCACCTGATGCTTCTGCATTCCGTGCAGCTGCTGCCGCGACTCGTGTTGTTGATGGTGCTGGTACTGCAGCGCCAAGCCCTGTGTTTTATCCATGTTTCAGCAGCAACCCTGCAATCACATGCAGAGCCAACTGCTGGTGCAGCTGCTGCTGCTGCTGCTGCTGCCGCTGCTGATACTGGGGCCAACTGTTCGCTCTGGAATCTTCAGCAAACCAGCCTCACAGCTCATCCATGCTTCAAAAGCAGCCCTGCAATCACATGCAGAGCCAACTGCTGATGCAGCTGCTGCTGCTGCTGAACCTTCCACTGAACCTCCTGAGCCTGCTGCTGCCTCCTCCGCTGTTTCAGCAAAACCCCCCCCACCTCTCCACCCTGCAGCATCTGCATGCCATTCCATTCCTTATCCTCACCCCCACATGCCACTGCATTGCTGCACGTGCTGCTGCCCCCGCTACTTGAACGCGGGATGGCAGGGATGGTAGCAGCGGCTTCAGCAGAAGCAGCAGGGATGGCAGAGATGGCAGGGGTGGTAGCAGCGGCTTCAGCGGCAGCAGCAGCAGCAGCAGCAGCAGGGATGGCAGGGACAGCAGGGACGGCAGGCACGGAAGGGACAGCAGGGATGGCCCATCCATGCGTCACCTCACGTTTCAGCATGCCTTGCAGCACCTCCCGAGACACACTCTCCCGAGACACTCTCTCCCGAGACGATACTTGAGGCGTCTTAATAGTGGAAACACTCTCTGCTATTTTCCTCACTCGCTTTGCAAGTCTCCTGTCCCATCCATTAGTGTCCTCGTCACACTCTTCAGCTGAACCGGTCCCTTGCTGTGCCGAGCCTTTCAGCATGCCTTGTGCCATGCCTTGCTGTGCCGAGCCTTTCAGCATGCCTTGTGCCATGCCTTGCTGTGCCGAGCCTTTCAGCATGCCTTGTGCCATGCCTTGCTGTGCCGAGCCTTTCAGCATGCCTTGTGCCATGCCTTGCTGTGCCGAGCCTTTCAGCATGCCTTGTGCCATGCCTTGCTGTGCCGAGCCTTTCAGCATGCCTTGTGCCATGCCTTGCTGTGCCGAGCCTTTCAGCATGCCTTGTGCCATGCCTTGCTGTGCCGAGCCTTTCAGCATGCCTTGTGCCATGCCTTGCTGTGCCGAGCCTTTCAGCATGCCTTGTGCCATGCCTTGCTGTGCCGAGCCTTTCAGCATGCCTTGTGCCATGCCTTGCTGTGCCGAGCCTTTCAGCATGCCTTGTGCCGTGCCTTGCTGTGCCATACCTTGCTGTGCCGAGCCTTTCAGCATGCCTTGTCCTGTGCCTTGCCGTGCTGCGGCTTTCAGCATCGCTTGTGCCACGTCAGCAGCATCAGCTTCTGCTTCAGCAGCCTCAGGCTCAAAAGCCTCGTTATAAGCACGCTTCATTAACCACCCGTTGCCGCTGTCGGACCGAACCAGCATGTCCGCCCCTCCGAGTGTTGACTGATCAGCATCCATCCGATTATCAAGCCTTGTTGGAGTTTTGAAATCACTTTTGAGGATTCTCAAAAGCGATGTCAATTTAGCCCCTCCGAGTGTTGACTGATCAGCATCCACCCGATTATCAAGCCTTGTTGGAGAAACAGTGGCAGTGGCATGTGTGTCGGAAGCAGGTGACTTCTGAGTCGACTCAAAAGTCACCAGCAGCATGTCAGCCCCTCCGAGTGTTGACTGATCAGCATTCACCCAATTATTAAGCCTTGTTGGAGTAATAGCGGCAGTGGCATGTGTGTTGGACTTTTGAGACGTCTCAAAAGTTGACTGATCCACCCGATTATTAAGCCTTGCTGGAGAAACAGTCGCAGTGGCATGTGTGTTGGAAGCATGAGTAGGGGGCTCCAGGGAAAGCGCTAAATTAAGGCCAGAATCCTGCGAGTCGGAATCACTCTTGCTGCTGGAAGATTGAGGGGTAACTGGCAACAGAGGAAGCTCCAATGCTGCTGCTGGTGATGCTGTTGCTGGTGCGGTGCTGGGCCGAGGCAGAGTGGTGGCGGGTGGTAACACAGCGGTGGTGGGTGGCAGCAGAGCGGTGTGGGGTCGTTTTAAACCGGTGCTGAAACCCAGGCTGGAGCCCAGCAGTTGCACCGAGGCACATCTTGAAACGGTTGAATTCGGTTGAGTGGCTTTCTGAAGGGTTGTGGAATGGCGGAAGGGTGTATTCACATGGGTGGTGGGATACTGAAGGGTGGGTGCCGAACGTGAGGGTTGATCACGGCCGTTGATTGCGGATTGAAGGGCCTGGATGAACGCAGCAACGGCTGAGGGAGTAGCAGCAGGGACTGTAGCAGTGGTAGCATCCACAGAGGAAGCACCTAGAGGGGCTGTAGCAGCAGCAGCAGCAGTGGCCGATGCAGTAGCAGCAGCAGCAGCAACAGCAGCGGGGGAAACAGCAGGAGCAGGGATCGCACCTACAGAGGAAGCACCTCGAGGGGATGTAGCAGCAGCAGAAGCAGCGGCAGCAGGAGGGGAAGAACGTGTTGGGGTGGATGGTTCTAGACATTTGCCTGAGCTTGCGGATTGAGGGAGGCCGTTGATTGCGGATTGGAGGGCTAGGATGAACGCAACAACGGCTGAGGGATCAGTAGAGTCTTTCATGGCAATTGAAGTAGCAGCACTTGGAGCAACACACGGCAAAACACCTGAGGAACCACCTGAGATATCACCTGAGAAAACGCCTGGAAAACCACCTGAGGCAACACCTGAGGGAACACCTGAGGCAGCACCTGAGAAAGCACCTGAGGAAGTACTTCCTGGGGTAACGGGGCATGTGGCATGTGCCGTGATTCCACCAGTCACAAACGCCAAAGCATCTGCCATGACGGTTTTTCTCGCCGGCCGCTCTTGGGCGGCAGCGGGCGGCGGGGTGACAGTAGCGGAGCTAGTGTTCCCCGCCGACCTTCCATGCGGGGCGGCAACGGGTGGAGCATCTGTGGCGGCAGTAGTGTTTCCCCCCGCCGACGACCTTCCCAGCTGGGCGGCAACGGGTGGAGCATCTGTGGCGCCGGCGGTAGAAGTGATTCCCTCCGCCGGCGACCTTCCCCCTCCGGGGGAGGTAGCACGGGGAGCATTGATCCACAGGCGCTGCTTGTTCACGAGGCTGTGCCAGCGGCTCTGAATCTGGTAACCCGTTCGCGAGGGGAATTTCGCCGATGCGATCGCGGCCCACTTGGTTTCGCCGTGGGAGCCCCATGCGACACTCGCTAGCAGTCTTGCATCCTCCTCTGGTGTGAACGGCGCGCGGTTGACCTGCATTGATGGAGGAAAGATGGATGGCATGGCATGGATGGCATGGATGGCATGGATGGCATGGCATGGATGGAAGATGGATGGCACGGCAGGGATAAGTCAGTGGAAAATAGCCGTGGGAGGTTCATGCGACGCTTGCTAGCAGTCAGGCGTCTTCGTCTGGTGTGAACGGCGCGCGGTTGACCTGCATGGGGGTGGGGGGGGATAACAGCAAGGATCAGAGGGAAACAGGCTGACTCAGAGCTGCCATGAATGCCCGAGGCGATTGCGGCCTTGTGTTAAGCGGGGTAACCCCACTTGCTTTCGCCGTAGGACTCAAAAATCGAATCATCACAAGGCGATTGCGGCCTTGTGTTGAGTGGAGTGGGGTGACCCCACTTGGTTTGGGCGTGGGAGCCCCACGCAACGCTTGCCAGGTCTTCTTCTGGTGTGAACTGGAGGCGATTGCGGCCTTGTGTTAAGCGGAGTAGCCCCACTTGGTTACGGCGTGGGAGCCCCACAAGGCGACTCCGGCCCTGTGTTGAGTGGAGTGCGGTGCCCCCACCCACCCCACTTGGTTTCGCCGTTGGAGTCCCTTCAACGCTTGACCTGCACTGAATGGCAGGGAAATATCCACATGAATATCCGAGGCGGCGCGGAAGGGGGAGAGATGGAAGGGGGGAAAGGGGGAAAGAAGGAAAGGGAGAAAGGGGGAAGGTGGGAAAGGGGGAAAGGGGGAAGGGGGGGAGTGGGGAAGGGGGGAAGGAGGAAGGAGGGAAGGAGGGAAGGAGTGGGGAGGAGGGGGGGGGGGGGGGGGGGGGGGGGGGGGGGAAGCGCAGAACGCTTAATATCAACACCCTCCTCCCCCCTTCCCTTTCCCCCCACCCTTCCCCTCTCCCGCCCCGCCCTCCCTCACCCCCCGCCAACCTTCCCTTTACCCGTCCCTCCCGTCCCCCCATTCGTCGTCAGCGAAGTAGTACCTTAGGGTCTAGGTGACTGGACCACCGTAGGCGGCAGCTCTGCGCGTCGCGTTTCAACGCCGTCGCCTCCGCCACGTGCTTCCAATTCCCCGCGCCGTACTTTGCCACGTAAGCGCTCAGCTCCGCGTCCTCCGCCGCCGTCCACGCCCCGCGCTTCCTCCGCGATTCGATGGTTTCTTTCAACCCGTCGCCTGAAGTCGCGGCGCGGGCGGGGACAGGGTCAGCGGCGCCCCTGGCGGCGCTATTACGGACGCCGCTATCAGCGCCGCCTTTAGCGGGGCTGTTAGTAAAGAGCCGCCGTCGGGGTTTTTTAGTCGTCTCCGCCGCCATATTTAAGCGGTTATAACAAGGGCGAGAGGGGCGGATTCAGCCTGAAAGCTCTGTGTGGCGTGCATAAGCTTTTCAATGATACTCCCTTATGCAACGCCGCGTTGAAAATCATACGGTAGTCGCAGCTGCTGCCAGTAACGTCGGATTATTCGTTGATCAACGGAATGCTGCAGGCGGCGGAAGGAAGACCTCCTTCCGCCGCGGAGAAAGGGCGGAGCGCGATGCACCAGCGCAACGCACAGGCGCAACGCAAACCATCCATCCATCCTGTTGGCCACGTCAACTGGCCAATGCAATGCAATGCACCATGCGCATGCTGCGCTGCACATCGGGGCCCTCAGTTCTGCCCCCACTGTTCATCATCAGACAAGACGAGATCTTTTTCTTCGGGAGGGACATGCCAGCCTGTCGAGAGGGACACCGCCAATGCCGAGCCGAGGTACAGCTGGGACTGTTCTTGTCCGTAAGGCTAGGTGGCTAAAAATGGTCGGCTAACTTAACTCTTACGAATTACTGTACTGTGGAACTATGCGGGATTGGACAAAAGAGAACAGAATTTCTGTGACGCAACAGTCCAACCAACGCATTCGGTCAACTCCATCCACTGGGCAAATTGAAAAAATACTACTGTACCTCACGTGGCAGTCGTTCCATTCGTCCGTTCCGTTCCGTCTCCCTCCGTTTCCTCCGTTCCCTTCGTAATTTCCGTTCCCTCCCCTGCCCGGCCCAGGCATTCTGAGAAGTAACGTAATTTAGTTGCTCTGAAACTCTGTCCCATGCCAAGCCAACCCATATCGCTGGCTGGAAACGGCACAGGGACTGCTTTGCAGGCGCTTTGCAGGCGGCGCTGTCAGTTTTGAGAATGAGCGATGCTGAAGGAGAAGGACTAGAAAACCCTAGAACATCCTATTTTTGCTCTACCGTTGCCTCCTCCCAACAGGTCGTCCTTCGGATGACTCGACTGGAGTGTTCCCACAAGCACCAAAAATTGTACATCTGTTCTCGTTTATAGTCAGACGGAAAAACACGCCGCGCACGGACTATGTTGCGAAATTTCCAAAACCCCGGATAAAGGGGACTGTAGCCCGAAAAGACCCGAGAGATTGCATGAAACGCGGTAGAAATGTAAACTGTTTTTTTTTGCTATCAAAAGTACAGGGTAACCGCGCTTGCTTCAAACTATTATCGCGCGATTCTCGGCGGTGGGCATTGTCACGTGACCTACGGGCAGACAAAAAACAAATCTCCTTGTTTGTTGCCATTGTTTATGATATTCGCGGTTTTTCTCTGCCGGTCAGCAAGCTACATGAAATGGTAAGGTCGAGCGGGGAGGGAGCCGCGCAATGGGATGTAGAAGCTAACGCGGTCAATATAAGCACAAAATGATAGTGTATTTTATTTGTGATATGTAAAAATCCTCTAAATTTGGTTCCTAGCAAGCAGGTCTGGTTCAATTCGACCCCTTCGTTGGCTGCAGCAAAAGTTCCCGCCAAAAATGGGACTCTAGAGAAGGGGATACACCTAGGACTTATCGGGAAACTCTACTCAAGGGGAAAATGGGTCTTTGAAAACGAGGCCTCTAAACAAGAGCAGTTGTAACGCTTTTGGTACGCAGCAGTGCGACAAGTGGCTCGGCTGCCGCCAGCTGGAATGGAGGTTCGGGTGGCGTGATGTGGTCAAATGCAATAGAGCTTCCAGCTAGCAAAGTCTCCTACCACAATCTGGGTCTTGGTTCCTGAAGGTCAATTCCTTGTTCGGGACAAGCGGTTGAGAACGATAACGTGCAATCCAGAGCCTTTATGCACGTCACCACTAAGAACCGCTACTCATCGGCATAAATATTCATGCATGAACTTCTGGGACCTGTAGAGGCGACAAAACGAACCTGCAATAGTGTGCTGCTGACTTGGGTGACTTCAACTGGGAAATCGGCTTTTACCTAATGCATGCAGATTTTGCTTGTGCAAGTTTGCGAATGCATACAACGGACGGTTCAGGGAAGACGTCGGCTTGCCGGCAAAATCAAGCGGTTACCCGTGTTTCGGGTTGAGGCTCCCCCAGTCGCATGCCATCCAGACGGGGTTTATTTTTGTTTCTGACCGCGGGCAGATAACATTCCGTCAACCTCTTTCCCCTACGGCCGTCTATTGTATGCATCTGTTATAACTTGAATGCTGTTGAAAATGGCCCCTGGAAATTTTCACGGAAGGTACAGTTGAATGGCGGAAGCGACGGAAGTGGCGGAAGTGGCGGCGATGGCGGAAGCGACGGAAGTGGCGCGAAAAAAAACGCGACACGAGATGGGGAGAAGGGAACCAAATGGGAGGGGAAGTGAGGGGTTTGGTGGGTGGCTAGCCAGCTGGCTGCTGGGGGGATGCACTTTGAGTGATACGTGTACAGTCTTGCAGAGGGTCATTTTGAGTTCCCCAAAAAACAGTTTTTTTTTCCTTTTTTTTTCCAAAGCTGGCTGGCATGTGATGTGCAGACACTGAAGCGTCAGACCCTCCGAATCACGACTCCTCACTGCTGCTGCTGCTGCTGCTGCTGCTCAAAATCATCTTAGGGTGCATCCCTGGTTGGGGCAGGGCAACTGTTCACATCGAGTTGGTGGCAAGTGTACCCAAAAATTCAGTGGGCCGGAAAATGCGCTTGCCACGGCTCGATGTGAACAGTTGCCGTGCCACTAACTCAGGGATGCACCCTTAAAGCGTGTTCGCAGTACATCACCAGCTCCACGTCGAGGTGCGTCGGTGAATGTCAACCCTCGGATCGAAAATTCTAACCGTCAGGATTCACCGACATCCCCCGACGTCGAGCTGGTGAGTACTTCGAAAACGCTTTTAGCAACGTTCTTCATAAAGGGCTACAGTAATTGTCAGCGCTGTCAGTGGTTACTCCAGGACACATATCATAGAAAGCACGAAAACATTAACAATGCCTTTTGCGGTCAGGGTTACGAAAAGTGTTTAGGGTAGGCTCAAATTTGCAAGGTCCACGAAGTCAGGGCGCACTCGTATCCCGTGTCAGACACAAAGCTAGACACGAAGTGGAGGTTCGGAAAACCCGAATTGGTTCGTTTGTAGGGAGAATGTAAGTTCGGAAGAGACAAATTGGAGACTAAGGGCTGATGACCTCAGGTCTGACACGGGATACGAATGCGCCCTAAGGTTGCTGTACTACAGTGAATCTGGCCCTGATCTGTGGCCCTTATAAAGGCTTGAACAGAGAGGCCCGTGGATCACGCGATTGGTCAGTCTCAAGGCAAAACCTAAGGCTGGCTTTCTCCGAACCTAACATTCTCCCACTTCCCCAAGGCTTGGTTCAAAAATAATTTCGATCATTCACCTTGAAGCCTGAGCAAGTAACTGAAGCATTCACCTTGATGCAGAGCGTTCCTTTTCTATTCTAAAACGGTTTGAGAGGGTTCCGAAGATTCGTACAGTACATTCATAAAGCCCACTTGGCTTGTCTACACCCACCTTGACTTTTATCTCCCAAACCAGAGATCCCGCCAACCACAAAACGTACAGCTTTGCTCTACGTACCTGATGCCACCACCAAATCCCGTACCAGAGTCCGCCTTGCCTCTCAGCCTCACATAACCAATCACCGTAGGCCGAACCAGATCCCTAGGCACGGCCAGATGTACTCGTTCTTCGGTGCAGTTTCGTTATGTAACATTCACTTGGAAAGTGAGTCTATACCTTTCATATCGGATCGAAATGTTTTCAAAATCCTCATACATTTATCCTTGATTCTTCCTGCCACTAATTCGGTTCGCTGCTCGATCATGGTGGTCCATGCAACCACATCCACCTCATCCCCGATAGTAGCTTATCATTGCAGCCAACCATGTGCTTTCCGGATAACATGGCCGCCGCAAATACCGGCGTCCGCACCTTTCCGTGGATTCCTCCCGCAAACAGCCAATCCCGTTCGGTCACGAACACCGCAAACGCGCCTACGGTCCGCAAATTCCGCGCGAAGCGCTTCGCGGTGCGCAGCCCTTTCCGCGGACGGAGGGGGGAAAGGCGCGGAGGCGGCGAAAGCGGCGGCTCCTAGAAGCGGGGGACGGGGAAGGGGAAGGGGAGGGGGAGAACGAGAGCCTTCCGCCGGTAATCGTATTTATAATACCACAGAGGTCGATTGGACCATGGGTCAGAAGCTTCCGCGAAAAGGATCGAACGAGCTGACCGATTCGCTGCTCCTGACCGCGTGGCTGGCGACTGTGGCTCCTGCTACATCCGACCGGCCCTCGATCTTATCCGATGCTTCGTTACTGTCACCCTACGCTACAGTCAACTACTTCGCGTTCGGATCGAATCTCAATCTGGATCTGCTACAGCGGCGGTCAACGGGAGTCAACGCACCTGTAGCAGAGTTTCTGGGTTCACCTGTAGCAGGGATTCTGGGTTCGGCTGTAGCAGAGGAGGATCCGGTTTTAGCAGAGCCGGCGGTGGTGTACCACCATCGCCTGGCGTTCAACGTGCGCGTGCTGCCGCCGTTCGAACCGGCTGTAGCGGCGATTGAGCCAGTCGGAGAGACAAGGGCGGCTGTAGCGGGAAATAGGCGGGATAGAGTCGCGATGACAAGACCGGCTGTAGCGAGAAATGGGTTGGATAGAGCCGCAGGGACCAGAACAGCTGTAGCGGGAAGTGAACAGGCTTTAGCGCAGAGCAGGGCGGCTGTAGCTGAGGCAGGCTCGGCTGTAGCGCGAAACGGGGCGGCTGTAGCGGGGATGGAGGGCAGGGAGGCAAGTCCGAGCGTGCATGGGCTGGTGGTGCAGATGCGACGAATCGACTACGAACGGCTCATGTGGTGAGTTGGCGTGTGGTGAATTCGCGCCTTCCTCTTTCTCCCCTTCCTCTTTCTCCCCTTCCTCTTCCTCCCCTCCTCTTCCTCCCCTTCCTCTTCCTCCTCTTCCCCTTCATCCCCTCCCCCCCCCCCACTAGCCCTCTCTGTCGCACCTCCCTCCCATGAAATGTACCATGGGGTGGTGATGGTGCAGACGCGACGAATCGACTGCGAACGGCTCATGTGGTGAGTTGGCGTGTGGTGAATTCGCGCCTTCCTCTTTCTCCCCTTCCTCTTTCTCCCCTTCCTCTTCCTCCCCTTCCTCTTCCTCCTCTTCCCCTTCATCCCCTCCCCCCCCCCCACTAGCCTTCTCTGTCGCACCTCCCTCCCATAAAATGTGTACCATGGGGTGGTGATGGTGCAGACGCGACGAATCGACTGCGAACGGCTCATGTGGTGAGTTGACGTGCCTTTGCTCTCTCTCCTTCAGTTCGCCCTTTCCTCTCCCGGCTGATGGTCCAGATGCAGCGAATCGACTACGAACGGCTCATGTGGTGAGTGCTATACATTTGCTCTCTCTCTCTCCCTTCACCCAATCTTCCTCCCGCTTCCCGCCGTCGAGCATGCATGGGCTGGTGGTCCAGATGCGACGAATCGACTACGAACGGCTCATGTGGTGAGCTGGCGTGTTGTGTTCTATCTCTTCCTTTCCCTATTTCCCTTCCTCCCCTTCTCCCCACCTCCCCCCGTAGAATTTGCATGGGCTGGTGTTGCAGTCCAGATGCAGCGAATCAATGACGAACGGCTCATGTGGTGAGTTGACGTTTGTGTGCTTCCTCTGCTCTAAGTATGCCTCCCCCTCGCCCTCTGTTGCTCATGTGGTGAGTTGGCATGCGGTGAGTGGCTACTTGCTTGAATTCTTTTCAGAATGCATAGAAACGACGCGTGTATCTTTTGAGGCGCCTCAAAAGGTGCATCCACACACAGACACACTTACACACTCGAAATCTCACACCTGCTCACATACTCACTTACACACACAGGCACACTTACCCGCTCGGATTCTCGCGCACACAGCCTCACCACAAATTGTCGTTTCTCTCTTCCTGTCTCTTCCCCTTTCCGGTCAGGTCAGAGGGCATTTCTCGCAACGAACAGCGACCCTACATAGAGCACCTCGTTACAGCACACACTTACTCCGGCAGCACTGTACAGGTAATTGCATAGTGACCTTTACTGGCACCGGTGAATCCAAACTTCAAAGATTTTATCGAATTAACCAAAGGATCAAAATCAGCTTGTTTCTATTTCCATGCGATCCAAGCATGTTAGGGCAAGGAAAAACGCAAAATGGTTCATTCTCTTGCTCTTCTCCCGCATCCCAGACCCTCACTGTCCGTGCCCACTCCAACAGCCCCTCAATCCTCCCCCTTCACAAGGAGCTGCCCGCCTCTGCTCGCTGATTCTCCTCTCTACCTCCTCGCGCTCATCCCAGGCCCTCACTGTCCGTGCCAACCCCAACAGCCCCTCAATCCTCATCCCAGGCCCTCACTGTCCGTGCCAACCCCAACAGCCCCTCAATCCTCATCCCAGGCCCTCACTGTCCGTGCCAACCCCAGCAGCCCATCGTTCCTCCCGCCTCACAAGGAGCTGCCCCCCTCTGCTCACCGTTTCTCCTGTCACCACCCACATCCCCCCTTCTTCCCTGAACCAGGCACTTACCCTCCGCGCCAATCCCAAGAGCCCATCGTTCCTCCCGCCTCACAAGGAGCTGCCCCCCTCTGCTCACCGTTTCTCCTGTCACCACCCACATCCCCCCTTCTTCCCTGAACCAGGCACTTACCCTCCGCGCCAATCCCAAGAGCCCATCGTTCCTCCCGCCTCACAAGGAGCTGCCCCCCTCTGCTCACCGTTTCTCCTGTCACCACCCACATCCCCCCTTCTTCCCTGAACCAGGCACTTACCCTCCGCGCCAATCCCAAGAGCCCATCGTTCCTCCCGCCTCACAAGGAGCTGCCCCCCTCTGCTCACCGTTTCTCCTGTCACCACCCACATCCCCCCTTCTTCCCTGAACCAGGCACTTACCCTCCGCGCCAATCCCAAGAGCCCATCGTTCCTCCCGCCTCACAAGGAGCTGCCCCCCTCTGCTCACCGTTTCTCCTGTCACCACCCACATCCCCCCTTCTTCCCTGAACCAGGCACTTACCCTCCGCGCCAATCCCAAGAGCCCATCGTTCCTCCCGCCTCACAAGGAGCTGCCCCCCTCTGCTCACCGTTTCTCCTGTCACCACCCACATCCCCCCTTCTTCCCTGAACCAGGCACTTACCCTCCGCGCCAATCCCAAGAGCCCATCGTTCCTCCCGCCTCACAAGGAGCTGCCCCCCTCTGCTCACCGTTTCTCCTGTCACCACCCACATCCCCCCTTCTTCCCTGAACCAGGCACTTACCCTCCGCGCCAATCCCAAGAGCCCATCGTTCCTCCCGCCTCACAAGGAGCTGCCCCCCTCTGCTCACCGTTTCTCCTGTCACCACCCACATCCCCCCTTCTTCCCTGAACCAGGCACTTACCCTCCGCGCCAATCCCAAGAGCCCATCGTTCCTCCCGCCTCACAAGGAGCTGCCCCCCTCTGCTCACCGTTTCTCCTGTCACCACCCACATCCCCCCTTCTTCCCTGAACCAGGCACTTACCCTCCGCGCCAATCCCAAGAGCCCATCGTTCCTCCCGCCTCACAAGGAGCTGCCCCCCTCTGCTCGCTACCGCGGGTTGTTGCTCAAAGGGGCCAGGAGAGCGGGTTTGCGGCGAGAGTATGTGGAGGAGATGAGGAGAGTCATGGATGGGAATCGCCTGGACGGGTGGTGGCAGTGGTGGTGATTATATTGAGTTGGTGTTGCTGCTGGTGCTTCCCTGCCAATCCATTCCTCCTTGTAAATTGTTCTTTAGTGTACTCAACATGAGTTTTGTACACGGCCAGTTATTTTCTCAAGCATGCAATATAAATGATACGTCTATCACTACTTATGGTCGTGTAGGTTTGGTAGCATTGGCTTACAGTGCCCAGTATGTGTCCTGCACAAGTGGAGTCATTTGTCAAACTCACCTACCCCTACTTAGGGTACGTTCTGTCGAAACAAGCTAGGCAGAAGTTAGGAACAGAAAGAGAGGTTTGAACTAGCAGGCAGTTGAGTACAAATAGCAAACCCTAGATTGGGCTGTACTCGCTATAGAGTACCCCACTGCAGGCTAGACAATAATAGCATTCTGACACACCCCCATAGCCAAAGTGAGGTGTAATCAGCAGAGGAAACAAAGCAGTACAAGCTCAGGGTGGATCACGATGTCACCACACATTCTGAGCACAAGTTCAAGAAGCAATAGTTTAAAGTTCACAGTTATGAGCAAAGCTAGAGGCAGTCACAGGGGGCAAGTGAGGAGGAGGAGGGCTGGCGAGAGGAGAGTAGATAGGAGGCGACGACTGAAGCTGCAGACACACGGGCAACAGACGGCTCTGGTGCGACAACGTGGCTACCGGGAATGAGTGCCCCGGAGTACAGGAGTAACAGGCTCCGCGGCTAATATGCACGGCAGGAGCAACGGACCCACAGGCGACGGCGCAACCGGCTCTCTGAGCTACCGGTGGCTAATCGACCCCCGGAATACAGGCGCTGCGGACGACACGACGGCGACCTCCGCTCAACCTCCTCCAACTGTCCCACACCCCTCGACACACACCCCCTGCTGCGCCCCTAGCTCCACTCCCCCTTCACCCCCCTAGCACCACTCCTTCGGCTCCCCACACAACCACCCCCCTGAGCGGCAGCTGCAGCAGCGGGAGACGAAGGAGGAGGAGGAGGAGGGGACGGGGCTCACAACCGACACCCCCATAGCCGCCACCCCCACACTCCTCACCCCCAAACCCTAAAACGGGCGGAACGGGGGAAGGAGCGCGGGGGACGGCGAGGGGGACGGTGCGCGACCCCCAGGACGCCACCACGGGGCAGCGAGGGGCCGCGCGCGGCTCCTTAGGGCGCCGCGAAGGGGCAGCGGGGGGTCGCGCACGGTTCCCCAGGGCGGCGCGACGGGAAATCGGGGGCCGCGGGCGACGGGAACGGGGGGCCGCGGGCGACGGGAACGGGGGGCCGCGAGCGACGGGAACGGGGGGGGCCGCGGGCGACGGGAAATCGGGGGCGCGCGGGGGTCCCCCACGGTAGGAAACCGCCGTGCGCCTCGGGGCGCACGGCGGGCAGAAAACCGCCGCGCGCCCCGAGCGCACGGCGGGATGAAAACCCAAAAAATTTTCGCCGCGCGCAGAGCGCGCGGCAGGAAGAAGACGACGCACGCCCGAGGCGCGCGAGAAGCATAACAGCAGCGGAAGCAGTTAGGTGGTGGGCCCACCCACAGGATCGACCCAACAGGATCGTCCTGCTCTGATAGCATGTCGAAACAAGCTAGGCAGAAGTTAGGAACAGAAAGAGAGGTTTGAACTAGCAGGCAGTTGAGTACAAATAGCAAACCCTAGATTGGGCTGTACTCGCTATAGAGTACCCCACTGCAGGCTAGACAATAATAGCATTCTGACACGTTCCTGCGGGGACATTTGTGTCACAAACCCAACCTCGTAACAGGCTTGCCTGGTAAAACTATTGAAGAATTTTGGGTCTGGGGGTATTTCCAGTGTGAGCCTGATAAGAGGCTCGCTTGATACGAGGTGTAGGAATTCGCTCTTAAAATACCATTCGTCATGGTGGTATAGCACAACTGTGAGACAGCTGGAATTGAGAATTGAGGTCCATGGGCCCATGTGTCTGGCATACCAGGGAATTGAGGTCGTTTTTTAGGCGCCTCAAAAAAGATATCATTCTTCATGGTGGGGTAGAGAGAAAGGTGTCAAACATATATGCTGCATATTGTCTAGGCTGTAGTAGGGTAGCCCATATGGGGTACAACCCAATTAGGGTTTACTACTTGTACTCCTGCATGCTGTTAGTTCATCATTCCTGCTGCTAGATTCTAACATGGTTTCAGAGCACTAAGGTCCGTAGGACCGTTTTTTTTTCGGGCCCACCTACCGCTGCGGTTACCGCGCTACCCCACGTACCTGCCTGCCTTGCCTTGCCTTGTGACGTGCTGCACTACGCGAGCCGTCCAGCAGCCCTAGCGCTGCCTCCTGCTGCCCTAGGCCAGCGCGCTGCCCCTAGAGGCCCGTAAGGCCCGCGCGCCGCCCCTACACGCCCTTTAGGCCCGCGCAGCCCGCACCGAGCCGCGCGCAGCCCGCTGCTGCCGCGCGCTGCCCGCACCGAGCCCGCGCAGCCCGCACCGAGCCGCGCGCAGCCCGCTGCAGCCGCGCGCAGCCCGCACCGAGCCGCGCGCAGCCCGCTGCTGCCGCGCGCAGCCCGCGCCGAGCCCACGCAGCCCGCGTCGAGCCGCGCGCGGCCTGCTCCTGCCTCGCGAGGCCCGCGCGCGGCCCGCAGCAGCCCGCGCCGAGCCGCGCGCGGCCTGCTACTGCCTCGCGCGGCCCGCAGCAGCCCGCGCCGAGCCGCGCGCGGCCCGCTACTGCCTAGCGCGGCCGCGCGCGGCCTGCAGCAGCCCAGCGCGCTGTCAGCGCAGCCCGCGCCGAGCCGCGCGCGTCCCTCTGCCTCGGCCCCGACCTGCCGCTGATGCGGCCCCGCCCTGCAGCTGCCACGGCCCCGACCTGCCGCTGACGCGCCCCCCCCCCCCCCCCTTCAACTGCCGCTGAAGCGGCCCCGCCCTGCAGCTGCTTCGGCCCTACACTGCCGCCGGTGTTGCGGCCCCGACGTCGCCGCTGTCGTGCGCCTACTCGGCCGCCGCCCGTCGAGCGCCGGCCCTGCTCGCCCGGCGAGCGCCTGCTCTTCCAGCCTTTGGTGAGCGCCTGCCTGCCTGCCTGCCGGCCTGCCTGCCTGCCTGCCTGCCTGCCGGCCTGCCTGTCTGCCTGCCTGCCTGTCTGCCTGCCTGCCTGCCTGTCGGCCTGCCGCGCCTGCCCTGCCCGCGCTACTGCTGCTGCTACTGCTACTGGCAGGTGGCCAGATGCAGCTCCAGCGACGTTCACGTGAGTCTCTCACGCCCCAGCAGCTTAGTGAGTGGTATACTAGCTGGGGTTGTCGCGGTAGCCGTCGTAGCTGTCCCCCTGGAGCTGGTCAGTTGGGAGCGTCTGGCAGTGGCCAGCTGCAGCTGCAGCGGCGTCCACGCGAGACACTTACGTCCCGGCAGCTCCACGAGTGGTACGCTCAGTGTAGCAGGTCTACGCGTACAGTTCGCTGCCCGTACGTCATTCGCACAGGTGATCGGGTTGGTCAGCCTTGCGGGACGCTTGGTCACACACAGTCCCGCTGCTTGGCCCGTTTGGCGACGAGGCTGAGCTCCCCGACTGGCTGGAGCTGCTTGGACAGAGGGTAGATATCTTTGCTCCTGACTATGATGCTATTCTCACTGCCATGTATGCATTGCCTACTAGTGCTGACCGTGCCTGTTTCCTGTGCGTACCGCCTGACCCTAGTATAGAGGCTGCTGCTCTAGGTGCTAGTGAGGCTGCTGCTCTAGGTGCTAGTGCGTCTCCTGCTCTAGGTACTGGTGAGGCTGCTGCTCTAGGTGCTAGTACGTCTCCTGCTCTCGGTGCTGGTGAGGCTGCGGCTCCAGGTGCTGGTGAGTCTGCTCTCTCTGGTACTGCGCCTGCTGCGGTCTTGCACACCTTCACCCTTGACTCAGGAGCTTCCCGCTCCTTCTTTCGCGACTGCACCACACTCACGCCGCTTAGTCGGCCAGTTGCAGTCTCCCTGGCGGACCCCTCTGGGGGTCCTGTCCTTGCCCACTACTCCACGGTTCTGCCGTGTCCGGCCGCCCCGTCTGGCTCGCTGTCAGGTCTTTACCTCCCCTCGTTCTCTACGAACTTGGTGAGTGGAGCTGACCTCCAGGATGGGGGGGTTCACCAGTTCACTCCTGCGGGTCAGCGAGTGACTCACTGTACGTGTGCTCGGACGGGCCGACACCTGGCCACATTTACCCGTGCGCCTGGCTCGAGTCTGTACACACTCACCACTGAGTCCCGTCAGGTAGCTGCGTCTGCGTCTGTGTCTGGTCAGCTGGCGGCCCCCTACGAGTGTCGCGCTTTGTCGCACGACACTCTCCTGTGGCACCACCACCTTGGTCACCCCTCCCTGCCTCGCCTTCGTAGCATGCACTCTCGCTCCCTGGTTTCTGGTCTTCCCAGGTCTCTGCCTGCCCTACCTCCCTCGCCTGCACCGCCCTGCATTCCTTGCGTCGAGGGGCGGCAGCGCGCCGCTCCTCACTCCTCGTTCCCTCCCACAGAGGCTCCTCTGCAGACTCTCCACCTGGACGTGTGGGGCCCAGCCCGCGTCCGTGGATAGGGCCACGAGCGGTACTTCCTGCTGGTCGTCGACGACTACACGCGTTACACCACGGTCTTCCCCTTGCGCAGCAAGGGGGACGTCCCTGATGTTTTGATCCCTTGGATCCGCGCTGTTCGTCTCCAGCTCCGCGAGCGGTTCCAGCGGGACTTTTCTGTCCTGCGTCTGCACTCTGACAGAGGCGGTGAGTTCACCTCAGACCTCTTGACAGCTTACTGTGCGGAGCACGGCATCACCCAGTCGTTCACGCTTCCGGCCTCTCCGCAGCAGAATGGGGTTGCTGAGCGCCGTATTGGCTTAGTCATGGAGGTCGCTCGTACCTCCATGATCCATGCGGCTGCCCCCCATTTTCTGTGGCCGTTTGCGGTCCGGTACGCCGCGCATCAGCTCAACCTCTGGCCCCGTGTCTCCTTGCCGGAGACCTCGCCCACACTGCTCTGGACGGGGGAGGTTGGCGATGCGTCGCATTTCCGGGTCTGGGGTGCTCGTGCC